AAAAAAAAGAACTGATTTCCTGAGAAATTATTTGGCTACGTTCCAAATGTACGTAAAATTGTGTGTTTGTACCGAATGTACTTCCAAACTAAATAAAGGTACGATTGTACCAACTACGAGGATGAAAATTCCCAGCGATACCATATCAACTTCTGTACTCACATTAAATAAATTTTGGCTATGTTGTAGAAAAGGTGAATCACTTTCCCCCAGTTCTTCGTGCCGTTTAAAAAGAAATATTTTCCGTCTATCTAGCGAAATCAACTACAGTTGTGGTACTTAAATACAACTTTTATTAATAACTCGACTCCCGCGCCACCTAGCGGGTCTATTTTTGGTAAACTTGTTTGCCATCATGCTGGTAGATCACATTTTGAATTTAAAAGAAATCGGTTCATAAATACGATTTTTATAAATAACTCGACCCCAGCGCCACCTACCGAGTTTTATGGTAGCCTAAAATAGGACTGAAATATATGCAGTACTTTTTGAGTTAACTCCGAACAACGAAAACGGCTATTATTTTATATATATAGATATATATATATATCTACTAGCAGAGCACCCGACGTCGTTCGGGGTAAACAAATCAAAATATATAACAGTAATACAAATATTCAGTTCAGCACAAATTAGAGGTGGAAAACTATTTTCTTCAACTACTATATATTGATCTTGTTCCATTACTAATATAAGGTGGATTAAGGTAACGATAGAATTTTAAAATTTAGATTAGTCTACTACGGTAGATTCCGTTTAGCTTCCTATTCGCTTAGCTCTTTTAGTATAGCTGCACTTTTCCGGTAGAATGCTTATTTCGGAAGTAGTTTTATTCATTATACATGCCCATGTTTCGTTTCAGAGCATCGCCGGATCAATAAAATGATTTAATCCTTCCATTTCAAAATGGTCTAGAAACTTTAAGGTTTCAAGAAAATTTCAGGTTCATGTGACTTATGGTTCCCAATTTATGGCTGGTTAAAATTTCCACGCCTATGGGATGTGCCACACCTCCTTTTACAAACTCACTTATATACACCTTACTATAAGCACCTACCATAGCGGTGCCTGAATACCAAGTTTGAAGTTCGTGGGGCTTATGGTTCCCAAGTTATAGCTGATAAAAAATTTCGCGGCTATGGGATGTGCCACGACGCCTATTACAAACATGTATTTATATGTATATACCTTACTATCAGCACCTACCATAGATATGTCTTTATACCAAATTTCAAGTTCATGTGACCTATGGTGTCGAAGTAATAGCTGATAAAAAATTCCACGCCTATGGGATGTGGACAAACTCATTTATAAATATCTTTTTATAAGCGCCTACCATACTATACCCGCATACCAAATTTCAATCTCGTGGGGCTTATGGTTCCGAAGTTATAGCTGATGAAAATTCCCACGCCCATGGGGTGTGCAACGCCCCCTTTTAAAGACTCATTTATTTACAGCTTATTATAAGCACCTACCATAGCTATGCCTGCATACCAAATTTAAAGTTCATGTGGCTTATGATTTCGAATTTATAGCTGATAAAAAATGTCACGCCTATGTGATGTGCCACGCCCCCTTTTACAAACTCATTTATATATACCTTACTATAAGCACCTACCATAGATATGTCTGCATACCAAATTTCAAGTTCATGTGACTTATGTTGTCGAAGGTATAGCTGATAAAAACTTCCACGCATACGGGATGTGCCACGCCTCCTTTTATAAACTCACTTATATACACCTCACTATAAGCACCTACCGTAGCTGTTCCTGCATACAAATTTTCAATCTCGTGGGGCTTATGGTTCCGAAGCTATAGCTGATAAAAAATTCCACGCCTATCGGATGTGCCACGCCCCCTTTTACAAACTCATTTATATATACCTTACTATAAGCACCTACCGTAGCTATGCCTGCATACCAAATTTCAAGTTCATATGACTTATGGTTTTGAAGTTAAGGCTGTTGAAAATTGTCACGCCTATGGGATGTGCCACGCCCCCTTTTACGAACTCATTTATTTATAGCCTACTATAAGCACCTACCATAGCTATGCCTAGGGACACGATATCGAACCGAAAGTATCGATATGGTACTCATTTAAAGTATCGCTTTAAAAATATCGGGTACCGATTAATATCGGAATAAAAAGACTCGATATTCCAAATATCGATACCAAAAATCAAAAAGTTTATCGCCATTCAGAGTCGACATAAAATTGTAGGCACCCCCTTTGTGCCACAACATTAAGGTTCACGCGACAAATCGGAGGAGAAGTTCGGCCAAACTCTAACATATTGTGTAAGCGCCGGACTTTATTATTATTACAACACGTAGAGATTGAGGTGTTGACTTTAACACCGAGGCCGCGGGTTCAAATCCCACCACATGCAATCCTATCCATAGTACAAATTTCTGCACTTTAAAGCCCAATTTATATCGGGAAGAATTGTTACAGGCCAACCTTATATGCGTGCGTAAAAAGCTAACTCAAATTCCAAGATTTGACGTTTATGCTCAATTGGCATTTTGGCGCGGCTATGAATTCAAATTTTTCTCGGCAAACTTCTGTAAATTTGATGGAAATGCAACTCTGAGAAATCACGCACGCAAATTGATTTGGACTTATCAAATGAGAAAAACTTTCGTGCGTGCGTAGAAAAACTCTCCCCGGTAATATTAGCTTGACCTGTTTGTTAATACCATTATCCTTCACTGAGAAAAAAAAACGCGTTGTAAGAATAAACATTTTTTATTTGATTACCGTTTAAAGCTGTTCGTATTTAAATCAAGTGAAAAGTCTTAACAAAATGGATTTTTCTATTATACATACACTACGTACATATAATGGAAATAATCAATTCAAATACGCCCGTATTAAAATGAAGCATTTTTCACTACACGGATGGCGTTTTGTACGTCTCGGATGCTTTTTCATATGTAATTAAGAAAGTATATGTATACAAAGCATACACAGCGGGGACAACACATACACACATACA